CATTCTAAAACCGTTGTGATTAATTAATATTTAAATAATCAAAATGGTTTTTTATTAATAAGCTTAGAATGAAACCTAAAATGCAGTGTTGGCCTTAGCGTGCGACTCTAATTCCTGAGGTCGTAGGTTCGAACCCGGATGTGCTTCCATTCCAATGGACTTCCTGACTATGTGCGCATTTGTCACTCTGTACGTATAGTACGGTGAAACAAATATCGTGAGGACCCAAATAATCGACAGCGTTTCAGGCTGATCACCTACTTGCCTATAAAAAAAGCAATTGATCACTAAATTGCTGCTAAAATCTGAAGACCCGGATTGTTGCGCCACTGGTTTTTCTTTAGAACTAAACGAACAGTATAATCTTGCTTTTCTTAACAAAGAAACATTATGCTGAGAGCAATCTTCAAGTAAAGTAGATAGTCATACCTAGGTAACACTGAAAATGTTTAGAAAATGAGAAACGGCTCAATGTAGAAAGTTGCCAATACTTTATTTTTCGAAGTAATCTCCGTTCCTCTCTAGCACTGAGAAAAAATTCCTTAGGGGTCTCTTCTACGGCATTTTCGTACGCTTTCACCGCATCTTCAGGGCTCGTAAAGGGAATACCTCGAATTTTACCTTTAGTTTTGAGTTCGTAGCAATATATCCAGCTTTCATCACCTGTGACGATGTCACATACAGCATTTGAGTCACCGCGGTTGAACTTATCTAACATGTGGCGACACCAGTCCATGCGAAGGTGTTTCTGGTCGTCGGTTAAAGTATGGGGAATCCATCTGGTACAAAGCTTCCTGACGCCTAAATGTTCGTGTAATATTTTTTGAACTTGACTCATACCAATGCCAGGCTTGCCCGTATCTGCTGATAAGTCACTCTCTTATCTTCCTCTATCATGCGTCGCACAGCACTGATGTTATCGTTTAAGTAGTGGGAGTGCCATGCTGTTGCCTTCGGGCTTCAGCCAAATGGGCAGGCACGACCGGGGCAGTACCACTGTCTCTCAGAAAACCGGCGTGAAGTGATGCAAAAGGTTCGCCTTCTTGTACTCGCGTTTCGTGCGGTGAGAGAGATTCCCGGAGCCCATCCCCCCCCCCCCCCCACACAAGAAATATGAAGGTGCAGAAAAAACAGAATCTACCCCAGGGGGGTACCACACGCGCTCGCGGTGGAGAATCCCCCTCTGGGCGTCCACCACCGGGACACTCAGCACCCGGTGGTGGACGCACAGGCTGCCCTTCGTATTCTGGGGGGGCAATTCTGCGCTCTACAAAAATAGTAATCGTCCTCGGGGCAAACGGAGCAATTATACAAAGGCACCCCCGTCCACACTCGCCGTGGACTTCACAAATGTTAGGGGGCTTAATTCTAACATCAACGCTGTCCACTATCATCTAGAGACTGCGAAGCCGGCCTTGCTCTTTCTTACCGAGACTCAGATATCCTCCCCGGCTGATACTTCCCACCTATCCTACCCGGGGTACAAATTGGAACATTCATTTGTGCCGCGGGCTGGAGTTTGCGTGTACGTCAGAGAGGATATCTGTTCTCGTCGCCTCGGGACGCTTGAAGGAAGGGACCTATCTAACCTCTGGCTGCGCGTAGACTGCGATGACCATCCGCGATTCTACGCATGCCTGTATAGGTCCCATAGCGGAAATACCGAAACTGACCGACTCATTGAGCACATCCAAATGGCTACAGATTCCCTGCTCGAAAGGGTTCCTACCGCTGAAATCGTGATACTTGGCGATTTTAACGCCCACCATGCCGATTGGCTCGGCTCTGAAACCACCGATCACGCGGGAAGATCCTTTCACGACTTTGCTTTAGCCTACGACCTGACACAAATGGTCCCTGCGATTACGCGAATACCAGATGTGGATGGTCATAAACCCTCTTTGTTGGACCTTCTGCTGACTTCTCATCCGGAGAACTATCAAGTCTCTGTTGACCCGCCATTGGGTTCATCAGATCATTGTGTGGTCCGGAGTACTGTGCCATCTACGCGCCCTTCACGGCCCCGCTTTATGGGTTGTCGCCGTATTTGGCACTATAAGTCAGCAGATTGGGACGGGATGCGGTCTTTCTTTGCGTCCTACCCTTGGGGGCCTATGTGCTTTTCGCCGGAAGCTCCAGATTCCGTCGCCGCCTCTGTCGCCGAAGTGGTTCTGCAGGGCATGGAACTCTTTATTCCATTTTCTGCGGTGCCGATCGGTGGCAAGTCTCAGCCCTGGTTTAAACGTTCTTGCAAGGCGGCCTCGCGTCGAAAGCGAGAATGCTTTAAGGCATGGGCGGAAGCGGCGAAATCTCGTGATGCCAATACCAGCGAACTTAAAAAAGCATATAACTCAGCCTCCAGGTCCTTCAAACGGGAAATCACTAAGGCAAAGTCAGAGCACATTGCCAGATTTGGCGAGAGATTGGCCCAACTCCCATCAGGGACTCGAGCCTTCTGGTCTCTCGCCAAAGCTGTCCAAGGGAATTTTTGTCAGCCCGCCATTCCGCCACTGCATAGGGAGGATGACTCTCTGGCCCACACTGCGAAGGAGAAGGCTGACCTTTTGGGCTGTCTCTTCGCGTCTAACTCGACTTTGGATGACCGAGGGAGATCACCACCGACCATTTCGCGGTGTGATTCTTCGATGCCGGAAATCACATTCCGGCAACGTGCTGTCCGCAAAGCACTATCTTCCTTGGACATTCATAAGTCGAGCGGGCCGGATGGTATCCCCCCAATTGTGCTGCGTACTTGTGCTCCTGAGTTGGCTCCGGTCTTAACGCGCCTTTTCCGGTACCTGTACTCGCTCGGCACTGTCCCGAAGTGCTGGAAGACCGCTTTGATACATCCGATCCCTAAAAAAAGGCGATCGCTCTGATCCGTCCAACTATCGCCCAATAGCTATAACCTCCTTGTTCTCCAAAATAATGGAATCCATTGTTAATTGCCAGCTCTTGAGGTATCTAGAGGGCCACCAGCTGATTAGCGATTATCAGTACGGCTTTCGTCGTGGTCGTTCGGCTGGTGACCTTCTTGTATACCTTACACATAGATGGGCAGAGGCAATTGAGTCCAAGGGGGGAGGCGCTAGCGGTTAGTTTGGACATAGCGAAAGCCTTCGATCGGGTGTGGCACAGAGCACTGCTCTCGAAGCTTCCAGCCTATGGGCTTCCCGAGAAATTACGCAATTGGATCTCCAGCTTTCTGGCCGATCGGAGCATCAAGGTCGTCATCGACGGAGCATGTTCCGACCTAAAACCCGTAAACGCTGGGGTCCCACAAGGCTGTGTTCTATCCCCGACCCTATTTCTTCTGCATATCAATGATATGTTGAAACTTAGCAACATTCATTGCTATGCGGATGACAGTACTGGGGATACTTTTTACACTGGCCGGGCAGGTATTTCTCGGGCAGTTGTTGATGAGTACCGGAACAAACTTGTGTCTGAAGTTGAAACTCTACTTCGTGGAGTCTCAGATTGGGGCAGACAAAACCTAGTCCAATTTAACCCCAAGAAGACACAAGTTTGCGCGTTTTCCGCTAAAAAAACACCCTTTGTCGCTACTCCTCTTTTCGAAAACACTCTTCTTAAAGCCACAGCCAGCATTGGAATACTTGGCGTTGACATATCGAGCGACGTTCAGTTTCGCGGTCACTTGGAGGGAAAGGCTAAATTAGCCTCCAAAAAGCTTGGTGTGCTCAGTAAGGCGAGACGGTACTTCACTCCGGGCCACCGCATGCAACTATATAAAGCGCAAATTCGGCCCCACATGGAGTACTGCTCTCACCTCTGGGCGGGGGCTCCCCCAGTACCAGCTCCTTCCACTTGACCGTATACAACGCAGAGCGGTTCGAATCGTTGACGACCAATCCCTCTCCGAGCGGCTTGATCCTTTGGCGTTGCGTAGAGATGTGGGGTCACTCTGCATCTTCTACCGCATTTACCATGGAGAGTGTTCAGAGGAGTTGTTCGGATTAATACCTGCAGCTGAGTTTCATCATCGGACGTCGAGGCAGAATACGAAATTCCACCCGTATCACCTCGACGTCCGACGTTCCACAACTGAGCGTTTCTCAAGGCAGTTTTTGCCACGCACCACCACTATGTGGAACCAGCTGCCCACTGAAGTATTCCCGAACCAATTCGACTTAGGGTCCTTCAAGAAAAGAGCGTACCAATTTTTAAAAGGCCGGCAACGCACTCGCGAGCCCTCTGGCATTGAGAGTGTCCATGGGCGGCGGTATCACTTAACATCAGGTGAGCCTCCTGCCCGTTTGCCCCCCGTTCTATAAAAAAAAAAAAAAAAAAGTAGTCGCTGTTAAAGGACGTCCCTCACGCGGATCATCATTGAGATTGCTACGTCCACGCTCAAACTCGTTAAATCAATTGTAAATAGTGGCACAAGATGGGGCTTCATTAAGAATAGCTAATCGCAGCCTACAACGAAAGTCATAATAAATCATTGACGGATAATTTTCTCGCGTTAGGTTCATTTTCACGTGTAACTAGAGTTTTAGATTTGCCGCCAATTCACAAAAACAAATCACAAATGAATGCAATATACTACATTAGGCTACCAATGAGTTCTATAATTGAAATTCAAAAAAAGTTTTCATTAGCAATGTTTCTAACTGGCCTGTTCTAAACATTTTCAGTGTTACCCACGTATACCTTTGTGCAATCATAACAACCTTAACAACCCTTGAGAAGTACTATTTATCGTTGGACAGGTGTCGTTGTAACACTAAAATTCATAATTTCATGAGATGGTTGGTCACTACGTGAAATAGTATCGAGATTAATCACGCTATGATATATGCATACATTTATTAGTCCAAGAATTGATAAAAGTTCTTTCGGTATTACGCATTTTAAAGATGCAGAACTATTGAGAATTAAGTTTCGCGCCATCTGTGAATTTAAACTCGCATTACTATGGTTTCTTTTTCAGATCATGTTGGGCCATTTCTGTGTTTGTTAGTATGATTTTCGCAGTGATGTTAGTTATAACCGCATATAGATGGTACGCCCGGAACCCTGTAGTAACTGTAAGTGATCACATAGGTAATGTAAGGAACAGTGATACTCAGGGTAAGAATCGAGACTTAGGCCGAACAAGTACATCTATATGTGAAATCAATTACGTTTATGATTCCTGAAGTCATATTTAGAGCTTAGTCACGATACTGAATCTCACCGATAAGACGAAGACATGTGTCAAAGACAAAAGAATTACTTAATTGCCCATAGATAATTGGAATATGTACGACGTATACGACTCGACTCTTACCTTTAGGCTAATTGGTTCTTATTATGCACGTTTTCACCAGGGATGTTATGTAGCTCCGTAACCGTAACCGAAACAATCGGATATCCGAAATAAATATATATCCATAACCGTAACCGTATCCGTTTCACAACTTTCGGATAGTTTCGGATAAGGGCGGAGTCTAAAATCTAGATAAAACTACATGTTTCGACAGGTTTTTATAATAATTTCATTACTCACAAAGTTAATTAAAAAGAAAAAAATTACATATGTTATATGTAAATACATATGTGCAATGTATAAAGTTAAATGTTTTTGTAAAGCTATTAAATTTATTGCACTTTTATTTTAATAGATAAAACTGAGGAGGATTAAACCTATATATAAAACTAAACTATTACATACTATTTGTATTTATATAATACTTCAATCCAATAACTGTAACTGAAACTATCCGAAACTAACGGATAATCCGAAATAATTGAATATCCGTAACCGTAACCGTAACCGATATAATTTTATTCCTATATCCATATCCGTATCCAGATCCGAAATATCATATCCATAACATCTCTAGTTTTCACCATACATACATGTAAAACTTATAAGGGCAAATGTTAGTATGTAAATAAACTATCTACATGGTTTTCAAAATAAAAATTTACTAAATTTGGCCCCAAATTTGTATAAAAACTTTTTGACACGAAATGTCATTTCCATACAAATTTAGTTTTTGACTTTCTACATACACTACTGTTAAGGCATCTTGACTTACGCCCGAACCCAATAACATATCTCAATCCATAATCCAACATCTGAGTTAGTAACTTAAATCCAAATGGTGTAACAAGTTTGCCAATACCCAATCGACGAGTTCGATTAGAACAGTTAATTATTTTAACAGATTTTAACTTACACCAGTTTTTTAAATAATTAAAAAATCTGTTTGTTATGTTTTAAACATACACATGTATATGTGAATGTTATTTGTACGGTTTTATTTACTTTATTTGGTTTACATTGATTATATCAAATATGAGTGAAAACTCGGTAAAATGGAACGACAAAGAGCATTTTATCCGTCGCCAAAATTTGATTGTCTTCGTAGGGTTTGGTTATTGGGATGCAGATCGGAGATCGATCGACTGCCACGGTCTTATCTCAGATTGTTTTCAATCTGAGATATTACATTGTGGATTAATTATTGGTTTCGGGCATAAGGCCTCAGACCAAGAAGATTGTAGCGCCACTGGGTATTGCTACAAACATCGACAGCCCGTGTCGATCATTGCCATTTTACGAAAAAAAAAAAACATTATCTAAAAACTGATACGGATATCTAATTCAAAGAACAAGTGTTGTTGTATATGTTTTTTGTTCTTTTCGATTTTTAAATTATTTTTCATAAATTAAACATTATTTTGGTAAATAAATCCGATTAATGTAATATATTAAATTCTCGTGCCACAATGTTCGTTCACATACTCCTCCGAAACGGCTCCACCGATTCCTATGAAATTTTGTATGCATATTCGATAAGCCTGAGAAGCGGCTAGTATCTATCTTTTAAACCCCTAAATATTAAGGGTGGTCCACGCCAAAAAAAAATTCACCCCTCTACGATCAACTCTTTTGTTATTATTGTAGATAGTCATTTTTATTGAACTAAAACAATGTTTGCCGGGTCAGTTAATATATATATATATAGAATCGAGATTCCATTAGCCGTCTCTTGCTGACCACGATTGCCGAAAACAGAAACGTCGAGTAATGTACATAAAAAGGTTTATGTACATTGAACGCCTTCTTATTAAATACTCGCGGATTAAAGAAAGAAGAAATCAAAAATATAATTTTATGGTTGAAGGTGATCGAAAGTACGCAGGGTGCTATTTGGGATGTGCCCTTCCCCGCAGTCACTGTTTGCGATATTAACGTCATATCAAAGAAAGCGGCCCGGTCTCTATCAAATAACTTGTGAGTACCATTTTGTTTTATTTTACAGTTAGATTATAAGAATATATTTTATCATCATCATCAATGGCGGTTCAGCCCCTTATGGGCTTTAACCGCCGCAAGTATATATATCGCCATAGCAATCTCGTGCTATGCATAGTACCGTAATTATTATATATTTTTTAATGATATTAAAATGCTGTGATAAAATCTTACATTCAAAATAAACCATGAACATAATTTCAACCTAACTTGTACAATGTACATAAACAGTGTCAAGTCTTTATAACCTCCGTTACATAACGAAAAGCTCTCTGTAACGTAAAAATGAGTTTAATTTGTTTGGTTGAACTCAAAACACATACATTTATTCAGTATTTCTAACGCAACAGACATTCTCTATTATGAAGAAATATATTCATATTTAGACTTGAGTGTAATTGTTTTTATAATCAGCTATTGATTTGCCGAAATTTCTGAGAACAATTTAGGACGCCTAAGGCCACAAACAGCCGTCGCCTTTGTGATTGTTAACTGCTTTAACACGTGTGCCATTATTTTTAGATTACATGGCCTGTAGGAAATTTTGGTCTCAGTAATGCCTCATCATCACCTATCTATTATATATATATAAATTACAAAATTAATAAATTCCAATCCAAATGGGGCAATAGATACTTCCACATATTAATTTATATCTGTTTATTAAACAATAATCAAAATATAAGTTGATCTTTTAAGTAACACTTGTTAAATTCAGTAAAAAAAATTAAAATTTACATTTAAAGTAGGAATAATCTTTCCGCCACTGTTTTTTCGTTTTATTGCTACTGAAGCATATGTTCACATGTTAGTATCATGTACGAAAAATGGTTTTCACGTGTGATATACGCTAGATAAGAATAATTTTACAGTCATTCTTTGATAAGATTTAATTTCAGGACCTTGCCACCGCATGTAACACCGGACTATGTCTTTAAGGCTTTAAAGCTAATACCTCTTTTATTCCTTGGGACCATAAAGGAAAAAGACAAAGAGCAACTGAACATACTTCAAGATATAATCGATACTAATGGCATTACGCTTAAGACCTTGTTCACAACGGTAAAATCTTCTTATCATAATTAATGTTATATGAATAGAGATAAGTAAAATCTAGCGACTAAGCGACACACAATCCTGAGGACGTGATTTCCTGGGGTGTGTAATGGACATTGCATTCAATTAACATGCTATAAATGTATTAAAATTGTAGATTGTTTCCTTATCGCCTTGACGTAACCGAAGTCGAAATGTTTTAGGATATGACAGGTTACGTAAAGATAGTACAATTAGGCCGGATGTGTTTTATTTGTGTAGACAACCGAAAAGGGTATAAAATAAATTATCAAGGAAGAACGTATTGGAAATAAATAATTAAAATGAACGGTTCAAACAAAACAACATCAATTTTATTAACATTACTTAGGAGCTTCTTCGAATACATTTTAATAAAAACATCCAACAGAATTAGAAGTTACTAAGAAAATTAAAAAGCATTTGGAAAAATAAATATAATTAGAACGAAGGAAATAGGACATTAGAATAATTAAGTTAATAAAATAATAGTAAATAAAACAGTAATTAAGTTAAGAAAATTATGTAAATAAAGGAGAAATAAAGGATTTTTGTAATATATTTTAATCAGTTTATTGTGAGTCTAATTAACTTCGCTTTTTACAGTTATCACCGACATCCTCTTGCGATAATCTGATTCAACGTTGCATGTGGAAGAATATAATGTACAGATGCGATCAGCTGTTTCAACAGGTGACAATAAAAGTAGGCACGTGCTGTTCCTTCAACTACTTTGCTATCGATGATTTAGACAGTCAGTGAGTACTTATACAAACTTCATACCAACATTAAGATCCCTATTAGTAGTGAAGAATAATTTTATGAATAATCAACTTTTCTTTGAACATGGATAACCTTTGTAAGAAATTTCTTTATATTTTTTCTATAACGCTAAAAAATAAAGTATCTACTAATATTAAACAGAGGAAATTTTTGTATTTATGTATAGGTATATTCGTAACGAAGAAACTCCGGATCGACATCGAAATGTATTTCACTATTAATTTTTTGCGGATATCAGACAAAACGCGCGGTCTACGGGGCTGGGGCAGGGGCCTGGACCTGCACTCAGACACCCTAATTTTCAAAGGTTTAGCGCCCTATATAAAACACATCAACCCTCCACACGCACATCATCCCTTAGTGACATAGGCTATATTTATTTCTAAAATGGAATAATTATATGATCGGATTAGTACTCGTATCAGATTCGTGAAATTAAAAGGGCCCGGAGATCGCTTATTAGCGGAAATTTATTTGTTTAAACCAAACCAAAGTTAATACGTAATGTTGATGTTATTATTGTTTCCAACTGATCATTGGTTGGATTCACTTTACACAGCAACAGCTTAGTTAAATTTGAGAAACGCTCAAGATAGCATTCTTTACAAAAAAAATTTTGCTTTCCAGCAATAAGCCACTTGTTTGTTTGATTTCTCAGTTTATGTTTTCCTCAAAAGCCATACTTGTATGAAACTTTTCACACGACTCTTTTTATGTCAAGTGGTAAATCTTTTACGTAGGCTCGGTACGTCACTTCTTTTTAGCCGGGTATGCTGAAGAGCGCCTTCTCCGCTCAGAGCGTGTGCCAGTTTGTTTACATGGGCGGTCAGCTTCTCCTGGTATTTCAGGCTGTTTTGAGCAGCTAAAACTTAAAAATAAATCAGCACGTTCACTTGACACAGAGAATGCTTCAAAAATAACGAATTCTTTGAAGTCAATTCTTGCTACGGTTTGGTTTCGGTTAGAAAAATCTATTTGCCTACGCCTTTCTTAGACAGAGACAAATTCTACGAAAAGATGTGGGTTTCGCTTTCTCTTATAGGGGATCTCAAACGTGGGCCTAATTAAATTAAAAAGTGAATTGATCTCTTTGAAGTCACCGCCAGCAAATGGCTTCACCCAACTAAAAACAGACAACATTGGTAGAAAATGATGGCTAGGCTCATACCCAGGATGTGGTTCTTATTTAAGTCAGATTCTAATACTATTATAAAATTCCAGAGTAATTAAAAAAACCTTTATACATTTAAGTTAAAACCCTCTTCGTCCAATATTGTATGGCACAGGGAGGACTTTTAAACGGGCTACATTAATCGACGTTATTGTTTCGTAATTATAATTCACGCGGGTCTTGGCTCAGATTGCATCTCTTCTTTGATAATTTTTAGTCGTGACTTATTATAAAAACAAGTGCTAACCGTTCAAATAGAAACAAAAATCTGTTAGTGCATCAAAACTCTCGACTCTCCCCGAGAGTAGAGATGCATCGTTAATTGTTTCGCTACCCTTCCATTATAGAAACCTGGATTTATTGCAAATGTCTACCCCTCGCCGAGTAGCCTCTTGTGGATATCAGACAGCATTGACAGTGCTGTTGAAAGTAGATGTTGATGACTACTACAGCTCAGGGATAGCATCGCAAGGAATATTGGTAAGTGCTACCAATATTCCTTCCTAATCTTATGTTACGGTATATAAACGATAATTGTGACGTGTTTTTGGGTCCACAAAAAATAATTAATCAGAGAGACGTAAATGTATGTCAGGCGATGCTCCACAATACATCTGTATTAGGTTCTATTGAGGGGTTATGGGATTTTACTTAGTAAAAGTGTAGTGTAATAGATTTTACACTTGTGTCACAGGAAAATCTCCTACGTACACGGCATGTCTTAATACGTCTTAAGATTAGATTATTTTCCATACACGTTCCCTTAACTATATCATGAAACGCAGTTAAAAACCTAGCTCATTGTGTCGCGCTTCCTAATCCGAGGATAGTGGAAGGAACTTAAGCTGGTAGGACACGCCTAAATGTAAGAAACCTGACTCTGTAACTGAAAAAAAAAACAGTATTTCTTAGAATCATAGTAAGTTGCAATGCTGACTTTATCACCTACTACAGGTCCATCTTGCAATGTACAAATAATGTTGCATCAGCAGTCGAGTGCTCATTGAACCACCCCAATCATTATTTTACGCTTAGGGCAGTTGTAACGAGCTATTGATTTTTGCATTCCCTACGTATTTAACAGATTAAAATAAATTGTATCTGTCTTTCAATCCCTAATAAGTTAGGTCTTTATAACTAACTTTTGAGTATGTAATTCCAAAACGAACTGAAACATTTTAAAGATTAACCGTTGAAATATGATGCGGTAATATATAACAAATGTATTACTGTCGTAGAAAACCTTGCATTTGAGTGGCTGTACTTGCAAATTTTATCAAGGGCACGATGTTCATTTAAAAAAAAATGATAGCAATTATAAATTAAAACACACAATAATTATAGAAATCATTAGTGTGATTTACATGTTATTTTACAGGTGTTCATAGATAATGCCTACAATATACCTGACCAAGATACGCCCGCTAGAATGGTTTCTCCATCCACTGAGGTCTTGATTGCATTAGCGCCTGAACGGACTTATAGCACTTCGGGAATTAAGGCTTTCACGCCTGAACAACGACAGTGTTATTTTCACAACGAGGTAATAATAAAATTAATATTGGGATATCCCAATTTGCACTCTGGTTTATTAGGCATAATGTAGCATTTTAACAGTGAAAAAAAAAAATTGTGGCGCTACAACCTCTTGAAGTCTTGGCCCCAGATTTCTAAGTCTGTTTCATGATCATTTTTAAATCTAATAGGCAAGTAGGTGACCAGCTTCCAGTGCCTGACACACGCCGTCGACTCTTTGGGTGTGACAAGTCGGTTTCCTCACGATGTTTCCCTTCACCGATCGAGCAAGTGTTAAATGCGCATATATAAAGAAAGTCCATTGGTGCACAGCCAGGGATCGAACCTACAACCTCAGGTATGAGAGTCGCACGCTGAAGCCACTAGGCCAACACTGCTCTTTAATAGTGAAAAGTTGGTCTATTAGTTTATAATTGTTTTCTTTACAAATACATTTTCTTCTGTATGACAAACGATTACGTATTTTTAGGAAAGAATATCTTTGCGATTTAGACCAAATCCACTTCAAATTATAAATAGATAGTACTATGAGTCGGAAATTAATACCTGTAGGTAACCCTTTTATATTGAATGAACGTAACACAAAAGTTCATATGATCGATTCCATAACAACAGCTGATGAGGGGAGCGTAGGGCAGTGACCCTTTTCATCTTTCGATCGTTGAGCGATGTCTGTAAAATTTTAATATGACATATTTATTTATTTAATTATAAGTTAAATCTTACAGCTAACATACACAGTATTATAAAACAAACACTTAGACAGTACAGACAGCCAAAACAGATTACATAGATAAACAATATTATATACGAAAAATAAAACAAATAAGCACATCAATAGACAAAACTATATAAAGAAAACTGAAATTTAACATTTAAAACTAAGACTAAAAACTTAAGACTTAATATTTCAAATCACTGCCTAAACAAAATCAGAGTCTTCCCGCCTCTTCAGGTACTTTCTTACATCTTCTTTGGTGAGGTGGAAAATATCAATATCCTCATAATTTGTGTCGTAGTTAGATAAAACCCGAAACATTGGTGAATTATGCAGGTAATTCGAGTTCGTACGAGGCACATGGAACAATTTTGTGTGTCTTGTCACATAAGGAGAAGGAATTTTAAAAGAAATTAACGACAGCAAATAGGGTCTATCGATCCGCCCATTAAGAATAGCGTGTAAAAAAGCAGGTCTATATAATCCAAACTTTTCCTCAAAAAAATTATGTAAATATTTCACTAATGAAAAAATAGGTAAAAATTAACTCTCATGAACAGTTTTATCAGATACTTTATCATACTGATTTTAGAAATAAAATATTTAAATGTATTATTACTTATAAATTGTATATAAAGCTGTCGAAAATTTATCAACAATGATAATCATGATTTCATAATTTAAAATATCATCTGAGTAAATAATTAAAATATAAATTTTTATTTTTACTTTTAATGCGAGACTAATAATCAAGTAGGTCTAATCAAATAGGTTTTGTTTCAGATTGAATATAGTTAGGAAGTGGATTCCATGTCTATAAAGCGAACACATTACATTTCATTTAAGCATGTTGTCTGTTGAGGACATTATAACTCGTACCATAGCAGTGACGTTTGATTTTTAACTGACAGTTTAATGTTTAATTTTTAAGTTTGTAACTTGTATTAGGAGTGTCTCCGATATCTAACAATTCCAGCGTTAATACTATCTTAGATATGTTCTAGATAGTTTAGTTATGTTACTGAGACACACATGATTGAATGGTTCGGTTAGGTAATTAGTAGCGCTTTGTGTGCTTAACGTAACAGTTATTGTATCGCCAAACCACTGACGCTTCAAGTGAGACATTCGGATTATATCATATAAGCCAATTGTCCAACTCACCGTAAGGTCTATTGATTAGTGTTACCATGGTTACCTACTACAGACGTGGAATAAGAGATACAATTTTTAAAAAGATTTTTATCTTGTTACGGCAAAGAAGTATAACTTCTAATGCGTGTACATAAGTACACACGTTTTTTTTTTTTAAATAATGCCGGTATTATTAGTCGATGAAACGATTCCCTGCATTTTTCTTGACCTTATATTTTGGGTACTACTTTTTTATATCATATTTTGGGTCTACCCTGTCGTAATATCATTTTCATTTTACTTTAAGTTAACATATAAATTTTACCGTTTTGTATTTGATTAGTCATAAAAGTTTATAGACAAAACAGAGTTCGTTGGTATTAAAAGGCGGAAGCAAATTCACGATAAATAGACTTATCGAAATTATTATCAAAACTTTAAATTTATTCGCCAACCAATCGAATGTTGTATTTAGATGTGCGTATTTTATTTATCGGAACACAATCATTGACGCAAATATATTGTAAGATATTATTTATCTAATAATTTATATCGGTAGATAGGTCTGTCAATGTAATGATTTAACACTAGACGACATTATAACTATGATCTTGCACGATTCAACGAATCAATCTGTAATATATACAGGGAGGCCTAAAGTCGTGGATCAAACGCAACTAAGGGATAGATGAGGTCATCAGCTGCAAAAAATTGTTATACGGGAGGTCCTTAAACTGAACCCCTGCAGAGTAATAATTTTATGTGCGTTTTTATAAGAAAATTGACTTTATATACTAATTCTTATTGAAATTCGAAAAATCTACATCTTTTTCACAATATCCACTAGATTGGTACTGATAAGTCTTTGCGTTAGACATGCTATTTATATGTAGTTGTTTATTGAGTGTATTGAAGATAATATTAAGTTATACGATATAAATTTTTTTCAAATCATAACTTTTTGTTTACTTCGGACCCCACGGTGATAAAAAAAATACTCTACCGAAAAGTGACCCTGTATTACAAGTTTTGGCGCAATTAATTACACATGGTCATAAGTGGCTCTAAAAACGATGCCTATTGAGCCTGGTTTAGTTTTTATGTATAGCATAGCATAGCATCTTCATAGCATCTAACAGAAGTTGGTCAATTACATAAATATTTATTTTGGTAGGTCCAAAGTAAAATTTTATGTTTTTAATTACCGAAAATTATATAATTAGGCCGGGAGATAGTGACACAAAATAGTTAGTCATTTGTACCAGTATGGCGGTTCTACTGGGGTCTTATTACGAAATAAAAATAAAAATTTTGATGGTCATAGCGCTGGTACCGGCGGCCCAAGCGCGTGAGCGTTAGTCGAACTCGTCGGATTATTTACGACTTTTAAACGATTTGTTCCACAAAAATTCTAGTATTTTCCGATAGTCCATATAAAAATAAAAGGCGGCAGTGTTACGCCATACTTCCGGTGTGACTTACAGCCCGCCATACCGACGTGAATGCGATGATTAAAAAAAAATTCAACCATTTGTACCAGGCTAATTTTTGCACAGTTAATCATCGTCGTGCAGCCATTTACGAAAATCACCATGCCACTTTTCGGACGGTTCCAAAAGTCCTCTATACCGCCGTAAAATCAGCAATTTTTTGCCAAACAATTTATACCAGTATTGCTTACGCCCACGCGCTTGGGCCGCCGGTACCAGCGCTATGACCATTAAAATTATTTTTTTAATTTCGCAGTAAGACCCCTGTAGAACCGCCATACTGGTACAAATGACTAACTATTTTGTATCACTATCTCCCGGCCTAAATTTAAAAGATGATGATCTAATAGCTTGTCACATTTGTTACATTAATAAATGCCTATTTAATTTATATAATCCGTGACATTGATTGTTGAAAGATAATTCCTTAAAATGGCCTTACTTGAAACTAATCGAACCAGTAATAATTCTTTATCATTTTGATTGATTGTATTTATCTCATATGCAAAATATATATGCGTATTTTTTTGTTATTTATAAATTGTACCAACTCTAAATTTGATGTGTATTGCATAGTGAATTCTAAAGCTTCGGTACTAGTGAACACTATGTCATATTCGTATACTTAGTTCTCAGCGGACCTTGAGGCGTTTAGCAAAAAATTGCGGCGTACGCCGGCTTCGCATAACTGAACATTTCTTTATATATTTTGAAAATAAATCGGTCCAGTAGTATTTCATTTGGTTAAAGTAGGAAGTGAGGTTTGTTCCTGATTGTAATAAACCAAGGTCCTTATTGTAATAAATTATAACGTGTCACGTGTAAAATATGAACATAAGGAATGCAATAAAGATTTGAGTTTGAGTCTGATTAAGAATACAACGAAAATCGTTATAAATTATGGATTTTTAACGATTTTTTTTCTCACAACCCACAGGTATTCAAAGAGTCCTATAAATTAATTATTTGAAAGTTTAAATTTACATTGTCAATGAAAATTTTAACTGTCCGGTCCGGAAAACCTTTCAGCGCCGAGGTATAAATGCATTACGAGACTGCAAACGAAAGCTGAAAAAAATCTATAACTCTATTCCAACCGATAAAAGAACTCCAAAGCCAGAAAACCAATTAGTCTTTAAATCAAGTTAAAAGTTATTCCAAGTATTTTATATAGTTTTGTCTTTGTTTTTGGGGCTTTAGGGTCACTGAAGGGCAATACATGACATTTAACATCTCCATAAAATAGCCTATCCTCACCAACTCCTCTCCCACTTACACGTCGGTAAGCCGTGACGTGCTACCTGTTGAATGGTATTAGCCAAAAAATCATGACTCACGCCAGGCAAATGCATACCCGTGACTTATTCCTCGTAGTAAAGGCACTCCCAAAAAACTTCAAGCCAAAATAATGGGCTATAAAGAGCAAAAATTTAACCTGCTTACGGACATAGATATTATATAACTGTGGCGTGATACTGCGAGGCACTTAGATCGCATGCCAGCAAGATCATAGCACACGATGTCAATGACCAGATAAAACCGTACTTGCAATGGCAGATTTGCCAACATAAGGCAAATAATCAAAAAAGCCGATAATTTAACACACCTGTACTTATTTGCTTCATTGACAATTCAAAAGCATTTGACTGCGTTCACTGGGAAAAATTGTGGAAGATCTTCACCGACGACGACACCACCCTCTTGGCATCAAATGAACATGACTTGCAGACAAAAGTGGGAAGTTTGGACTACAATAAATAAATCCAAAACTAAAGTGATGATAATCGATAGATCAGAAAAACTCATACACACTCGTAAACTGAAAGACCTAGAAATAGTAGGCGAGTTAGAATACCTCATTCCCTTATAAGCAGTCGAGGAGGAAACGAAAACGAAATCCAAAGAAGAACTCGGATGACCAAAGATGCAATGACAAAGCTGTTGTGTTTATGGAAGGACCGGAATATTTCCTTAAAAACAAAGAAGAAATTGGTTGAGACTCTGGTATTTCCGAGTTTCCTTCATAGCGATGAATCCTGGACAATAAGGACATCTGAAAGGAGAAAAATAGATGCTAGGGTGTGTGGTGTTGGAGGCGGATGCTTAGAATTCCCTGGACTGCTAAGGAAACAAACGTGTCAATACTAAGATAGTTACAGGTAGAAAATCGCCTTTCGGCACTATGTTACCAACGCATCCTTAGATTTTTTGGACTTGTAACATGCAGAGATCCAGAAAGTTTAGAAAAGCTCATCGTGACTGGCAGAGTTGAAGTAAACTCTAACAGGTCTTACTATCATCCAGGTGCAGAAGCTTGCCAAAGACAGGAGAGAGTGGAAGAAGTTGTGCGGCGCCACTACCACGATCGTCAGAAATGAAGAGTGCGACTCTAGAAGACGTCTCAGTTTAACTTTAAAAATAGCAGTGTTATAGTAACCTGAGAGTCAACATTGTATCAACATTTTGCTAAACCAGTGAAACATAGACTCAAAAATCATCAGCGTACTCTTACACACAAAAGAAATGATTCTTTAAAAATCTGAGGTAATAACATTGACGTGTAAAGCGCTATGTGATCGTTTTTGTACATTTAAATTAATCTATACATCAATACCGATAACAATTAATCAGTGTATTTTTGTTGTTGGAGTCTCTTTTCATGTTTAACAACTTTGTGTTGTTAAACATAAACGTTTAATGAGACACATGCTAGAATCAAATGGACAGATCTCAGTCGTCAAGTTTAAGATAAATATCTACTGACTTTATCGGTGAGCTCTGATATGAACGCTTGATTCGCCCTTGGTACTAGCAGAGGTTCTACATGCCCCGAGATATTTATTAATAAATAAATTGACGTACCATTTATTTAAAAAAAAATGGTACGTCAATTTATTTATTACAGATTACGCAGTATTATGTTTTTTTCTTTTGATGTAGTACCAGCGTATAATTAATATCGAATACGAACGTTACTAAGGTATCTTTTCTTTAAAGCATTAATATTTGAGCTGTAGCAGATTTTTTCATTTCATCAACAATTTAGTATTAAAATATCAAGAAAGACTGTTACCTCGCCAGAACAAAACGTTTTGTTTTGACTGAAACCTGAATCTGTTCGAACACATATCGATTTTTACATTCTCTATTTTGGGCTTCTTACCTTTAGGATTTTAATTCGGCTTTAATGCCATACCTTTCTATAAAAGAAAATCGTACTTACGCGAATTGTTTAAACATAGACCTTTGTTTTGCCTTAATGTACGTATGATTTAATCAATGCAGATTCTATTGTCAGTCTCCATCTCAATAACACTTAGTTGTCGCAGATCAGCTTTAAGTTGCACAAAACAAAGACACTAGAGCTAAAGAAAACATAAGCGCTCCACTTGTAATATTATGTTTTAACAGTCTGTAACTGCCTTAAATGACATTAAACGTTGTTCTATAAGAATTTTCACGTTGGTTTTATTTTCCAAGAGAAAAAAATCAGTGCGTAGGCTTCAGCGTGCGACTCTCATCCCTGAGGCCGTAGGTCCGATCTCCGTTGCGCATCTAACAATAGTTTGTACGGTCAAGAAAATATCATATAGCATGCCGTAGATACAAAAAGTCGACGGCGCGTTTCAGCCACAGGAGGCTGATCACCTCTTTGTCTATTGAAAAAAAAACAAATGGTCACGAAACAGATAAAGATCTGAGGCCTAGGGTTATAGCACCAATGTTATTTTATTTATTAAGTTGTACTTATATACAGTCATAATTTTTTTATTTTTCCAGGTGACTTTAGCAAATTTTAAACAATACTCGTTTCACAACTGTATGGTGTTCCAACGCATACTTACAATTCAAAGCGAATGTGGTTGTGTGCCTTGGTTTTTTCCAGAACAAGGTATATTTATAAAATTATTTATACACATCAGAATGAGCCCAGACTAAAATTGGGCTAGCTGATGGCGACGTGTATCTCGTTCGTATATAATATTAAATTTCTCATGTAAATAAAAAAATATTTTTTGTAATGAGAAATAAAGTTCTTTAAACAATTGATTATGAGTCATACTGGATAACAAAAAGCACTGTGCTATCTCTACAAAGAAAGTTTGATATAAAGTTAAAAATTTAGTTATTGTAACATTTAAAATAATACCATTGATACCAAAAGATGCTTCTCGGGTAAAATTTTGAAATTTTGCATTCTTATTTAAAAGTGATATTACGAGATAACTTTTGATGAAAAGTACCTACTTGTTTAAATAATCTAATTGACGTTTTTAATCTCAGACGGCTATCGCGTCTGCAACTTCAGAGATATTGACTGTATAGAGACCCTTCCAGGTAATTTTTTCATATAAATTATATTTCAGCGAAACAATACTAGCATCTTTGGCAATATTTCTTTATAAGCAACCTTTGTCTACACTTAGCGCTCAGTCTTCTTTCGGAATATTAAAGTAAAACTTAAAGTAAAAAGCTTAGAAGTTTCTTTCAATTCAAATCAAATTTTATTTTTAATAAATGATTTCCTTAGAATAAAATCATTATCATCAATGGTTATACAACCTGGGCCTTAGCTTCCACAAGTATGTTTCGCCATTACTATCTCGTGCTTCTTCTTACGCCACTTCTTTCAACCACCTATGGAATCAAATCTAAGGCCTGAAATATACCACTTTGCTACCAATCGAAAATAAAAATTATAATAAAAAGCACAGGATCTTAGATATACTTTTATAATATAAATTATATTATGATAGCATAGCTATATATAGCATAGTATTGTTGAGTCATAAAATCATATCTTTCTTATATATGACGTCTATTTTCTCAAAATAAATAAAAATAAACGATAAAAATAGCACTATCAGTATCATTGCAATAATCTTAGTACGTCAATAGAAAATATAGAATTTTTTGAATAGATATTTCTCTCATAGCAACTGTTTAAACTTTCATAAGGATTTTTTTATTTATACTGAAATAGTGTTTATGTATCAGAAAGCTAAATTGGCTATGTTGCATTTTTAGATATTGGATTTATTTATATATTATTTAATACCCTTAAAGTACTTCAATACACACATGCATACATAATCCATAATTATATTGACTAGATTTCGCAAATACAGCAGATACATTGATTGTTTCAGAACGTCTTTCGATCAAAGATTTAGTAAATATGCCGAGATCTATACGGTGTTTGCCGGAGTGTGAGCATTATGACTATCCGTTGGAAGTTGCGATGGGGAAATTGAGCTCCAAAGTACCTTTGAATGGCTTGCCGTTTTTGTAAGACATTTGATATATTTTTCCATATTTATAACAACCCTTAAATAATCTTAAAATAGCCATAGAGTTCTTCCATCTAGTGATTGTTGCTACACAAGATCTGATGATTGATAAATAGTAAATGATACACTAAAATACTGCGTTAGTGGATTTAAACTAAAATACTCCGTCTCTAGTAAAAAGTAGCAAGTAGGTAGCCTTAATAAAATAATAAAAAAAAATCAGTGGCGCTACAACCTCTTTTGGTCTGGGCCTCAGATTTCTGAATCTGTTTCATGATCATTTTTAAATCTAATAGGCAAGCAGGTGAGCCTCCAGTGCCTGACACACGCCGTCGACTTTTTGGGTCTAAGACATGTCGGCTTCCTCACGATGTTTTCCTTCACCGTTGGAGCTAATGTTATATGCGCCATTAGAAAGAAAGTCCATTGGTGCATAGCCGGGGATCCAACCTACGACCTCAGGGATGACGCACGCTGCAGTCTCTAGGCCAACACTGCTCCAAGATAGCCTTAATATAAATGTTAATAAATAATAGTTTAAAAAAACTAAAAACACGCTTTTAAAGGACATCAAACTAAAAAGTGTAAAATAATTCCTAATTTAGGTTGAAAATGATTTAGGCTCTGTGCCATATTTTTCGTCTATCGAGCAACCCACGCTTTTTCACAATAATACCAGTATTTTTTGTTCATTACCATTTTCAGCCTAAATTAGGAATTATTTTTCACTTTTTAGTTTGATGTGCTTTAAAAGCGTTTTTGTTATTTTTTTTTAACTATTATTTATTTTTTCATTTTTTTTTTGGATTATTGCATTGTCATCGATCTTTGACAGGTGCACAAAGTTTGAATTAAATCTGACTGTTAAAAGTGGGTCAAAATCGAGTCCGAAGGAGTCGGTAACATACATACATACATACTGATGATACATACATATTTTCATCTTGATTTTTTTTTGCAGTGAAAATGTGAACATAGAAAATTCATCAGTACTTAATATTTTCTTTAACGATTTGGTGTCTACAAGATATCGACGGGATGTTTATCTCAACTGGCAAAATATATTAGGTAATGTTTTAACTACTAAACCAAGATGCAAGCATATTTAAATGTATATGAATTGATGTGGGCATAAGTCGTGAGCTGGAAAATATCTTAGACGAAATTATTCATGAGTTAAAAAATATCTACAGAAATATATGTGATTAATGAATTTCTAAAGCTTCTAATAATACTTCTGTAGCTAAATAAATCTCTTTGCCTTGCATATAATGTAACACATATGTGTACAATGTTCATCATCTAGCTATTATCTAATATATAAAATTCTCGTGTCACAGTTTTCGTTGCCATACTCCTCCAAAACGGCTCGACCGATTCTCATGAAATTTTGTGTGCATATTGGGTATGTCTGAGAATCGGACAACATCTATTTTCATCCCCCTAAATGTTAAGGGTAGTCCACCCCTAAATATTTTATTTTTATTTTTAGATATTTTTTTCTGTTTTTATTTTTTTATGATACAGCATTAAAAAATACATACAAACCCCTAACTTTCACCCCTCTACGATCAACCCCTATTTTTTTTATTATAAATGATATATATGGCAAAACGACGTTTGCCCGGTCAGCTAGTATATACTATATTTATTTTTATAGTTCTTCAGGTGCTGATATATATTCTTGTTTGTAGATTTCAAGTGTTTAATAACTTTTGTTTCCCTTAATTAGTGCGGTAGTTTGGGACAAAAGCATTTAGTCATTAAAATTACAAAAAAAATACAGTAGCGCTACAACCTTTTTAGGTCTGGACCTCAGATTTCTGTATTTGTTTCATGATCATTCGTCAATAAAATAGGCAAGTAGGTGATCACCCTTCTGTGAGATGAGAGTTGCACGCAGAAGCCACTTGGCACTGCTCTTAAAAATTAAAGTTACTAGAAGTGTTAATAAAAAGTGATAGGTAATAAGAATGACGCAATTATCTTTTATTAAATTTTATTATTCTACGTAGTCACCGTAAAGTAAAGTATAAGTAAAGGTAGAAGAGAGCCTAGGAGCTAGGTCCAGCAACTATAGCGGAGATTCCATACAAAAACAGCATTGTGATATTCCATTCCAAGTATTCTTTGTTCCTGCGCGTCAAAAGGGCACAGAGTTGGTTTCAATTTTTGAAGTGAAACTTCTTTATCGGGGTTGGAAAAAAAATTTACTGTAACATTTTTGCGTTGCGCGTCACATTTTTCCGTTACGCGCCATGTTGCTTTTTGAAGTCAAACTTCTTTATCGGCGTTAAAATATGACATATAGTATGTTTTTGATTTTGAAGTTTGACAACGGATTACATTTTCGAAGTCAAACTTCTTTATCGGCGTTAAAATATGACATATAGTATGTTTCTGACTTTGAAGTTTGACAACGGATTACATTTTCGACTTGAAATTTGCTAATCGCAATTTGCAGCAATTAATTAGTAAATTGTATGCTAGGCAGTGTATCAAAATTTACTGTGTTTAAAGAAATAGTTTCTAATAAGGTCATAAAGAAGTTTCACTTCTTACGTGTGTACACCTAGTACACGCACACATTTTTTTATACCTGAATGGTTTTGTCTAATGTTATGGACACTTCCTATAGAAATCTTAAATTTTTGTTCTATAAAACAAACAGGCATGAGGATCCGCCAAGACAATGTTTTCAACTTTTTTAATCATTTGTTCAGTTGTGGAGGGCGTCCCCCGCGGACCTCGTCGGTAATGGGTGTTCTTCTTCACCTGAACTTAGCACACCAATGTGCAACCGTAGAATTTGAATTGCTCTCAAACCTTGATTTACGAACTCCGTACTAAAATTTTTCATGCAAAGATATTTTACCGCGCAAACTTCAATTTTATCAATTTTTATGAACAAGTCAGACATGACGCAAACAAATAACTTCTATTTTTAAAACAAAACAGAATTGATTATGATGATATGATTGAATATGAAATACATACATTATTATAATTATATATCACTTTACGAGAATGTCATGATACAGTAGGTAGTAATTGGGTTGAGTAAATATGCATTACTCAACCGTTCCGCACTCGTTTGTTCCTCTAATTAATTAGGCTTTGGCTAAATCAAAATTCGTTTCATTGTCATCATATGCATGTCCAATATATGTATTAACCAGCAATCCATTTTAATTTAGCTAAATGAAGTATTTCACCGTTAAATTCTACGTTTATTTGCAGAACACAATGCTGTGATGTAGACCTGAAAGTATTGAGATCAAAGGGTTTAAATAAAAACGCAATATTTTACTTTCGTATTCAATTTATATTCCATTTATGTTTAAAAGTAAATCTACTTGAATAAATATTTTATGAAAAACATGTGTATTGATATTTACGTTTTTTAGTGTGGCCTCAGCCTCTGATAAATCTGATAATTTTCTTTATTTATTTATTTATTCAGAAGATTCACAGCACAATACATAAATAGATTTATATATATATAACATTGTAGGCCAATTACAAATCTTCACATATAGTAAAAAGTGTAGTTATAGTAGTTATAGAATTGATCAGATTCCCGTATCTGACTGAAATGCTTACGATTACGCCAAACATCGGTGATTGCGTGTGTCAGGCTTCAATATTAGTTACCTTTTGGGCTAAGAATTTACTGTGTTCTAAACCAGAGCTAATGTAAAAATTTACGTTTTAATTCATCAGCCACTCAACTTGTATGATAAAGACACGATATTTACATTCATCGTACACAAGCTTCTTGTGAATATAGAAAATTCCTGGTGCACGAGATTCGCAAACACTATTGGAAATCGTTGCTCAGTTTCTATTTGCATTTGCTTAAAATATAAGGCGAATGTGAAATACCCTTTTCCTTTGACGGAAAATTTCAAATCTATCTCATTACATGTCCATTTATTTAATTTAATTAAAGTCCGTTCAGACTACGTGGCATATAATTATAACGATGCGGTTATTATGGTTCTCTTGATGAGATTTTCTCTAATGTATGCATGTATTTATATAATAATAATTGTGTGTTACATGTGTATAAAATAAATAACTGATCGTACCACTATTAAAAAATCCTCTCGAATCCTTCCGATCCTTATTTCGTTTTTAATGTGGTTTTCGTACTATGGAATCCGGATTTAAAAAGTGTGTTTTGGTAGTTCATAATTTGTATAATGATAAAATCGTCACAATCTGTGCTTATTAGAATATGTTAGAAAGTGTTACAGTTTACATTAACTCATTTCTGAAATCATCCGTTTGGTTCGGTTAGGATTTATATCGGCTCTTTTCTATAGGTTGTTAATTATGAAAATTATTTTTCTTATTAATCACTCAATGACGTCAATGTCAACAAACGTGATAATCGTATTAAAATATTATCTTTTAAGAGAAATTGTAGATAAAACATTATAATAATCTTAATTAATATAATTAATTAACAATAACTATCAAATTTTATCTTAAATATTGTGCGAAATTATTGGATTTTTATCATAAGCGGTGTGGTCGAGGTGTGTTTTATTCTATTATTTTATATGGTTTATATCGTGTAAATTAGCTATATACATTTATTGTATATTACCGCAGCGTTGACTATCCTATCACTTTAGGTAAATAAAATTGTCTTTTTGCAGGTAATGGTAATACATATTATGTTTTATATAGAATTATGTCAAGTACGAAACGCATTGTTTTATTCATATGCAGATTCCATACAAAAACAGCTTTGTAATATTCCCAGTCTTCTTTGTTCCAGCGCGTCAGAAGGGCACAGAGTAGGTTTCCATTTTTATACCCTAGGAAATTAAAAAAGATTACATTAACCAAGGCTGGTAGAAAAATCATTGGAAGCTATGTTTTTTTACATTATAGAATGTCTACAGTCAGACGACATGTCTTGATTTCCTTGAATAGAATAAATAGTTGTATTTCATATAATTGTTTTTTTTTAATTTTTGTATATTTTCGTGCTATTCCTATTTCTTTCAAGTCATTTAAAATAATGTCAATTGTTTTATCATTGTAAGTATTCTTTTAATTGTTTTTTATATTTTAATTTGTTTGAATATTCTTGTTTACCCTAGTTGTGAAGAAATTTAAGGAAACTTCTCCAATTATGTAAAATGTTTCCTTTTTAAAGAAATATTTACGAAGAAATTTATACAGTTTAAAAATATAAAAGAAGCAATACTCCGCTGGCGCAGCGATTCTTAGTGAGCTTTGGCTCCCGATACTAGGAACGTAATTACCGATCGCGCGCTACGGCTTCCCAATAATAAAAAATGAAAGTAACTTTCATTTTTATTACACAAAATTATTGTAACAACTTGATATGATTTGAAAATATACATATTTCGAGCGAAGTGCAAAACAATAAAATCTTGATTTAGGAAATGTAATTCGGTAGTGATAAGCAATTGATAAGCGATTGACGACAATACCGACATTGATTTTTTATCATTGTTTTTGGAGTACATTCTTGAAATTACATTAAAGGATATTACATTTTAGATATACTGTATGAAGTCAGACCTTGATTATTGACGGCTAAATGCGGTTTAGAATATGAAAATATCGGATGGATTTTACAGTTCTACTTTGATATTAAGTGATTTGATTCAGTCCTGCTTTAACTTGAGTAATATAACTTTTGAGGGTATATGTTGTATATTTAAAACAGGCATGTCAAATTTAAAACAGGCATAATATATAAAAGAAAAATTTACACAGAAACGATGCGAAAGGTAAAGGGTTAACAAAGCAAAAACCCGTATAGCGCTGCAGCGCTGTATTGATTAGGAATAATGACTGCCTTGCCTTTATTAATACGCTAGGCAATATTGGGTTAATTACATTCGTCAGTGTTCCTTAATTACACTCTTTTAATTTTCAGCTGCTTTTGGAGGTCTTCTTAGCCTCATGCTGGGATTCACATTTATATCCGGGATTGATTTCGTAATATTTTTCATGTTTCGAATTATATATGATTGCACATTCACCAATAATTGGGAGGGAAAGAAATGGACGCCAGAGAGCAAGATTATCAAAGTTGAAGAGAAAAATTTATCTAAGTTTT